TATTAACTTGAATTTTCTAAATGCAACTTCATCATTCTGCAGATCAGCTAGGCTCACTTCAAAAACACGACCCTTGAGACCATCAGATGCAATTTTGGTTCCTTGAGTTCTCGTGACTAGTGTTTTCCCAATATTTCTTATATTGAACATAGCTGGTGCTTTGACATCATACCAATCTTTCTTAGAAAATGGGTCAACCCTGGATTTAAAAAAAGACAAACTTTAAGTTTTACAGATCACATAATTCTTAATGGCTTTTTTACTTTCCTCATTCTAACGATTTTAAAGGGCTAAATGGCATATAGACACCGCAGCGAACTATTCCTCTCACAGTGAACTCGGGCGCATATGTAAATCTAGCTCTCCCCACTGTGTTTCCCTGTACAAGCCGGAGACGTTAGAAGTTAAGCCACAAAAGAATCCACTCCCCACGCCAATCGGCCCTTCGATTACACCGCCTCCAAATAGCATGCATGTCTCTCGAACGTGACTGATACACGAAAGCCACATACTGGCAATGGGGGCTCTTCAGAGGACCTCGCGAACCTGCTTGGGGCTCTCGGGTTCCACCCGGCCTAAGCTGGGGGTTGCGGGGTCCTTGGTGCACAAGAAGGGTGCCTTCCTCAGCTCCAGCTCTTAAAAAGAGTGGCATCAATCACCCGTGCAACTTACGAGGCCCGTGAGCCCACAAGAGATACATGCCCGCTGCGACTGGCGGCGGCAGTCCAGCTCAAACACGGCACGCACAGGCCCACAAGGCCCGGGGAAAGGCAGCCAGGTCTGCCAGGCAGCGGTTCGGCGTTACCAACCCGACACGGCCAACGCAATCCGACTGGCATCCTCGCCATCCGGCCCACGCCGCGACCCAGAACCCGCCCGCCGACTCCAGCAGGACTCCAAAAAGCGGGAGGCCACGAGAGTCGCCACTTACACTTTTTTCTTGGCTCCCTTCTTGCCGCCTTTCGTAAGGCGCTTATTCTTGCCGACCGCCATGGTGCAGCTCCAAGGGACAAAAAGGCGGAAATGCAACTCGCGCGAGAACTTAGGCGTACGGGGCGGGGAAGCGCCGTCTACGTAACCTTTGACCTTCCGCGTTTTTTCGGCCTCAAGAACGTCGCGACCACAGAAAAAGGCCTTCCTTCCTCTGCAGCTGCGATAGCGCCCTCAAGTGTGGGGAGGCTGCGCTCCCGTGGCGCGGACGCTGGCGGCGTGAGGTGTAGGTTTCGGGTTACCGGTGGTTTCCGTGGCTCCGACTCCCGGGAGTAAGTTTCCGTGGAAGGAGGTGCCCACTCAACGTTTTTCAAAGCTGGACTCGCCATCTCACCTTTAAACCTGTTTCTTCTCGAGAGCATGGGATTTGGAATCAGGAGGCCCAGGTTCAAATGCTACTTTCAACAATATTTTAGCCTGTGACCTGTCTGTATGTCAGTTTTCTCATATTTAAAGTAGAGATAGTAATATAATCTACCTCATAAGATTGTTAATAGGATTTAATAAGTATTACTTTGGAGATACTAGTAATGTTCTGCTTGTTGATATGGGTGCTGGTGAAGTGGGGTATGTTCGCTTTGTGAACACCCATCAAGCTATATACACTTATTTGTGTACTTTATTATATGTTTCTCATAGATAGTTTTTTTATAAGTGGATTGAACTCTGCCGACTGTTTCCCTGGGAGACGGTGGTTCCAGCGTTCCCAGATTGTTTCAAGAAAAGTTGGACATTTTTTGTGCGTGAAATCTCCAAATTTTTCAATTTTTGCAACTAATAAAATTTTTTTTTTTAAATTGTAGGGCTTTAACAAAATACATCCTGTTTAGATGTGGTCCGCTAGCTTCAAGTGCAGCCTCTGGTACTCAGCCAGTGGCATGTTGAGTTCCCTTTTCTAACTTCTCCTCTGGCAAAAAAACCCTGTGAGCAAGCCAGAAACTCCTACTCACAATGCCCCACAAGCCTTTTAAATCCTATAACCCCTTCCACTTCTTCTAAGCCTCCATCTCCTACCTCCTCCTACCCACACCTTCTAAAACAATATTCCTGAATTTCCAATCCTATCCTAAAATCCTTTAATAATTCCATTAATCTCAGTTGCTTATAAGATAAATTTGAAGTCCTTATTTCACAGTATGAAAATACTTAACTACTGAATTGTACACTTAAAAATGGTTAAGAGGGTAAATTTTATGTTAGGTGTTTTTTTACTGCAATTAAAAAAAAAAAAAAGTCAGCCAGCCAAGTGGCGCGTTAATTAGGAGTTGGCTTGGGACACCAGCTCTGAGCAGAAGGGCTCTGGTTTGGATCCCACATGGGCCAGCGATGCTGCGCCCTCTATAGCTAAGATGGTGAACAACAGCTCTACCTGGAGCTGGGCTGCTGTGAGTTGCTGGGGACCTCGTAGGCTGCAGTGGGGCTGGCCTGCAGCTGGTGTGAGCGGCTGTCCAATGGCCAGAGAGCGATTGCCTCACCCAGGAAGAGCGCAATGATAATACCAACATGAGCCAGTGAAGCGACGTCCTCCACAACTAGACTGAAGAACAAAAAAAGGACACTAAGTTGTCTGTTCCCCTTCCCCGATTCCCCAATAAAATCTTTAAAAAAAAAAAAATCAAAGTCCTTAGCCAAGCCTATACAAAAACTCTTGTCAAGCCCTACTGACTTATCCCTTTTTCATTCTCATCATTATCTTAACCTTTACCAGCTACTCCAACTCCAACCATCCAGAACTATTTAAAATTCCCTGAACAAAATGGTTTTTTCTTCATTCCTTACCCTCAGCAGCAGGAAAATACCTGTGCATTTTCAAGACAGATCAGCTTCATTTTTTTCTTCAGTAAGAGGTTGATTCCGGACAAACAGGCTTTCCCTCAGACCTGCTCCCAGAAGACCTAGCACTGCTTAACTAACTTCTTAGTAACTGTTGATTACGTTTGTCCCTTTCTCACTGTGAATGCAAGGGCACACAATGCAATCATTTTCATATTTGTGCCCCATCACTTAGCACATAGTAGGCCCTCAAAATATTTGTTGGATGAACAAATAAGACATAGAAGATATCAATGGTGCTCCCAGTTTTTGAGCTTTATGGATCAATCCAGATTTTCATCATAATTTTAGGAACCAACAGGACTGAAAATTTTAAATTTCACCATGTTATAAAACAAACCCAAAAAACAACTGCCGTTTAATATCAGCATTTCATTTTAAAATTATTTTGACCCCCCCAAAATAAAAATAAAGAATGTATCCTTTAAAAGGTTGATCCTTTTAAATAAATAAATCAACTTTATGAAAACCTCTATAGACATTATTTTCCTTGTCTGATTGCAGACTGGTGAAGCTAGTGACCACGGGAATTAATGAGTCCTTCCAGATATAATACTGAGTCCAATAAACTCTATTAATTTTATACCCATAGTAACCTTGACTAAGTATACTTCATAGGTGGCAGGCAGTTCACTAATTTAAAACTTTCCCAGTGGAAAATGTTATAGACTCCCAGGATATCTACTGCAGAATAAAACCCAAATTTGCCTTCTTGCTGGTCTGTTTCTTCTTTTTGCCCGAGTGAAAAAGCCACACGGGAGGCATTAATGAAGTCTGCTGCATCTAGTTCATTCTAGCAACACCAGCATCTAAGGGATTTATCCAAGGTCTGTATTTTGATTCTTAACTTTGTTTTTTAATAAAAGCTTTTATAAAAGAAAAAAATTTCCCTAACACTGTTACATTAAGTGCAGCAATCATCAGTTTTAATTTAATTGTATTGAATAAAAGATGGCATGGTGGTGTAAAGGGTCTCAACCACCTGATAATTTCAAAATTAAGATAGACTAAAACAGAATAGAAAAAGGTCAGAATATATCACACCTAGTAAGGTGTCAATATTTCATTAATTTTCACCTGTGACTAATCTATTGAATACATTCAATGATTTTAGAATTTTGATTACTGTGTTTTTTATTTCTAAAAGTTCCATTTCTTTTTCTATTTATATCATTTTGTAGTTATTCTTTTCAGGCATCTTTAATATAGATTTAAAACCAGTAACCATAATTGTTTTACATTCACTGTATAATAATAGTTCCAGTACTGAAGTCTCTTCCAAGCTTTCTATTGTCTTTTTCTTTTGTGCTGGTTCTCCCTCATGAAAGTCTAGATATTTTGAGTCCCTAGTTATATTTGTGTAGTGGTCATTATGTTTGAGGCTTAGGATGAAGATACTCTCTTCCAAAAAGAATATGTATATCTTGCTAGAGTCCTACAGGCATTTAATTGAGCTTTTGGCTTTAGGCTTTCTGGAAAACCCAGGAGGTTCCAACCCAGCCATAATTCTGGGTTGGTGAACACATGGAGATGCTGGGAAAGTGGTGTGCTCAAAGGGTTAGAAGCTCCATCCCCCTTCTCCATATTTTGCCTATGCATCTCTTCCATATGGCTGTTACTGAATTATATATCCCTTTATAATAAGTCAGTCACCTGGTAAAATGTTTCTCTGAGTTCTGTGAATGGCTCTAGAAAATTAGTCGGACCCAAGGAGGGCGGGGAAGGGGGGTCATTGGGACCTCCACTATAGCTGGTCGATCAGAAGTATGGGTGATAACCTGGATTTGAGATTGGCATCTACAGGGGATCAGCAGTCTGGTAGGACTGAACCCTTAACCTATGGGATCTGATGCTATCTATGTGTAGATAGTGTCAGAATTGCTTGTTGATTTGGGAACACACACACACACACACATTGGAATGGTTTCCAAAATTAACATCCTTTTCTCCCAGTCTATAAATGCCTTCTAATCTCATTTCCTTTCCTTCTCAGCTGCAGCCCATGGTTTTCCCACCAAAACTATGTACTGCTTTTGCAGCCTTATCCTTCTCCAACCCTGCTCTGAAAACCTTAAGCTTAGTTTAATATGCAATCTACCTTCTATGGTACTATGTGCCCCCAGTTTTTTCATTCTGCTCTGTATCTATGACCTTGTGCAGTCCCCTTCCACACTGACTGGGCTTGTTCATATGACTTGCTTTGATCAAGGGACATTAGCAAGTATGACTTGAGCAGTGGCTTAAAAAATTGCTGGCACATACAGGGCTTGCTCTCTCTTTCTGCTCCTTAGAACAGTGAGCTCACTAACTGGAGAAACCTGAGCTAGCCTGCTGGAGAATGAGAGATCATTTGAAGCAGAATAAGTAGACGGAGCTGAGGTCTCTCCAGAACAACCAGCCTACCAACTATCAGGTAGGTATTTGAATAAGGCCATCCTAGACCATTTAATCGAACTGAATTTGCCCAGGACAGAACTACCCATTCGACACATAGAATCATGAGAAATAATGTTTGTTGTTATAAGTCATTAAATGTTGGGAGAATTTGTTCTGCAGCAAAAACATATATTTTCTCTATCCTTACATTTACCCTTACCCTCACAGCATGATTATAAAAAAGTTCACATTTCTGACTGGAACTATTAGAAATTAATAGTATCACATCTCAGTTGTATCTTTGGGACCCCTGTCAGTCCTTTTACCTGTCAGCCACTCTTCCTCTGCCTCTCAATGACTGACTTTTCAATCCCTCACATGTTCTTCCCAACCCCACCTCAGTCCTATCCCTTGTCATGTTTAGAAAATGACCTTGTTTCCTACTTCAAATAATGGGCTTGCAGGTCACTGTAAGGACTCTGGATATTTTTCTGTGTGGGATGAGAAGCCATTGGAAGATTTTGAGCAGCAGAGTGACAACTCTGGCTGCTATGTGGTGAATACAATGTAGTAGAGAAAGAGTAGAATCAAGAAGTTAGAGATGGGGGTAGCATGGTTTAGGGTGGTAGAGGCAGAAGAGCAGAGGGTGGAGAGAGGTGAAAACAGGACACCATTCAAGGAGAGTAAGACGCAAATAACATCCTCTGGAGTTGCGAGATGCAGTTGCCCTGGGTGGAGGGATCCATTGAGGATCCTGGTCGTATTTGGAAGATAAGAACCGGCAGAATTTGCTTATGAATTGTGTGGAAAGAAGAAGAGGAATCAAGGATAATCATATGTATTAAAATGATTTTTTAAAATTTGTGCTTACCTACCTTACCCCCTCTGGGCATAAGGCAGACTCTGTAGTAAATATCTTTCTTTGTATGCTAGTCTTGAGTGAATGGATGGATGAATCCTAATTAATATTATTCTTTAAAGCAGATTACCCATTTTCTTTGGAGATATAGCTTTTCTATTTACAAAATAAAAATAGTATATAATAATGAATTCTATTGTAGAGGTGTTATAAATGGGTTTATTGACATGTACTCTATCCTAGTGCTTCCCAAAGCACAGTCATCAGGACAATTGCAGGTCAACAAACTGTTATCAGTATGAGCTAAGGAGCTTTTGACAGAATGAAATCCATTTTGTAACTAAACACTGTTTAGTTCAGCTGACTTTTTTTCTCCAAGAAAACTTTGTCTATTAAGCATGCTGATTTGTATTCTGGCTTAAGCTCCTTATCTTGTTGTCAAGTGGCACCTTTTGTTGCAGAACCTCCAAAGAAGCTCTCAAGGTTCGTTTGTAGAAGAACGTAGGATAATCAAGCTTCCAAGACTCCAGACATATCCAAATGAGGCGCTGCATGTGGCAAGCTACCTTTCTTAAAAAAAAATAAAGTGGAGCACTATAATGAATACATGACTGCAGAAATAAAAAGCTTGGACAAGGGAGGCACCAGAAAGAACCTTGAATGTGCTGATTTAGATCAGAAGCTTAGTTTATAAGAACTGAGTATATAATGGAAATGGCTATAAGCAAATTTCTGTGAGCAGTTCCAGGAACCCCAATAGTCAGCGTCCAAATGGCCATGAGAGTCAGTTTGATCTGTCACTTAGGGGATAAATTAGTGGTCTGGAGAAGAAAGGATCTTGGATCTGGAGGGAATTTAGTCTGGGCTTGGGTGGAAATATTTTTGATTAACAGGAGAGAATAACCTCAAGGATCAGATATAGAGAAAAGTGCTTTTGACAAGATGGGGAGTAAACAAAGGATGATTTTAAAGAAAATGCATTCATTAATGTATTCATTCATTAGTAGTAGGCACTATAAAATGGGGGAAACACATAGACTGTGCCTTCAAGAATCTTGGTCCTGATGTGATGATTCACCTCAAATGACATCAAAAGCAGACATTCATCAGAGGAAGGTTATGCTCTCAGTGTGGTGGGATTTTAAAGGTGTCGTTTTTTTCAAGCTCCTACCAAGGAACCAAACAATCAATTCAAATGTTACTGTCAGCAATTGGACAGTTTGAATGAATCCATCATCCAGAAACGTCCAGAGCTTGTTAATTGTAACGGAGTTGTATTCCATCGCGACAACGTGAGTCCACACACAAGTTTGATCACCCGTCAAAAATTATTGGAGCTTGGATGGGATGTGTTGCCACACTCACCATACTCGCCTCACCTTGCGCCATCAGACTTCCACTTGTTTCCGCTGTCTTCAAAACTCCTTGCGTGATATAACGTTCAATTCAGATGAGGCTGTAAATCAGCACCTTGTTCAGTTTTTCGCAAATAAAGACAGGTCCTTCTATGAACGAGGAATTATGAAGCTCACTGACAGATGGCAAAAGGTTATTGAACAAAACAGGCAATAGATCATTGATTGATCTTTGTTCTTTATATAAATAAATGACCTTTGAAAAACATAGACAAAATATGTCATGACTTTCAAGACTACCCAATCCTTAATGGTAAAAGACTGGGTGATTTCTCCCTAAGATCAGAAATAAGACAAAGATCTCCACTCTCCTTACTACCATTCAACATTATACAGAGAATCTAGCAGGGAAATAGGACAAGAAAGAAAAAAAATAAAAGGCATCCAGATTGGAAAAGAAGTAAAATTATATTCACAGATTATATGGTCTTGTATTTGGAAAATTAAGAGAAATCCACCCAAAATTATGACAGCTCAAAAACTAGTACAGTAAGGTTGCAAGATTCAAGGTCAGTATACAAAAGTTAATTATGAGTTTTATACACTGGCCATAATCAGAAAATGAAATTAAGAAACAATTCTATTATAGCATTAAAAATAATACAGTATTTAGGGATAAATTTAATAAAGGAAGTACAAAATAAATACATAAATAGAAATAAACTCGTGTGTCAATGGTCAGCTAATTTTCAACAAGCATGCGAAGACCATTCAATGAGGAAAGAATAGTCTTTTCAATAAATGATGCTGGGACAACTGCATAGCCACATGCGAAAAAATATAGTTGGATTCTTACCTCACACCATATACAAAAATTAACACAAAATGGACCAACAACCTACATTTTACAGCTAAAATTATTAAACACTTGGAAAAATATAGAGTTAAATCTACTTGACCTCAAATTTGTTAATTGGTTCTTCGATGTGACAACAAAAGCACAAGCAAAAAAACAAAAAGTAAATTTTACTTCATCAAAATTTAAAACTTTGCTTTTAAATGACACTATCAATAAAGTGAAAAGAAAATCCACAGAATGGAAGAAAATATTTACACATCATATATTTGATAAAGGATTTGTATCTTGAATATATAAATAACTCAATAGTAAAAGACAGATAATCCAATTAAAATGGGCAAAAGATCTGAGTGGACATTTCTCAAAAAAAAAAAAAGATATACAAATGGTCAGCAAGCACATGTATAACTGAATGCAATCAATAGTCAGGGAAATACAAATCAAAATTATGATGTGATATTCATACTCACTGAAATGGCTATAATCAAAAAGTGAATCACAAATGGTGAGGATGTGAAGAAACCTTATACACTGCTGGTGGGTATGAAAAATAGTGCAGTGACTGTAAAACAGATTGGCATATTTCCAAAATGTTAGATCTAGGGTTTCCATGTGACCCGGCATTTTCACTGCTGGGTATATAACCTAAAGAATTGAAAACAACATGGATAGATCTTGAAATCATTATGCTAAGTGAAGTAAGTCAGACAAAAAGTCGAAAACCATATGACTTCACTCATATGTGGAATATAAAACGGAAAGTAACAAAGGAACAAGACAAGCAAATGAAGAAACAAAAACTCATAGACACAGACAACAGTTAGCGGTTACAAGAGGGTAAGGGGGGAGGGGGGTGGTAGAAGAGGGTAAAGGGGGTCAAATATGTGGTGATGGAAGGAGAACTGACTCTGAGAGGTGAGCACATAATACAGCATACAGATGATGTATTATAGAATTGTACAATTGAAACCTATGTAGTTTTGTTGACCATTGTCACCCCAATAAATTAAAAAAAATAAGAATTGAAAACACGTGTTTAAGTAAAAGCTTGCTCACAAATTCTCATAGCAGCACTATTCACAATAGTCAAAAGGTAGAAATAATCCATATAGTCCAATAATAGATAAATGGATAAACAAAAGGTGGCATATCCGTACACAGGAATATTATTCAGCCTTAAAAAAAAGAATGGCACATGTTACAACATAGATGCACCTTGTAAACATCATGCTAACTGAAAACCAATTCAGACACAAAAGGCCACATATTGTATGATTCCATTTATTGAAATAACCAGATTTGCCAAATCCTTAAAGATGGGAAACAGGTTAGTGGTTCCCTAGGGCTGGGTGTAGGGAGAAATGAGGAGTTAGTTAAATGGCAGGATTTTTTTTTTTTTTAGGTGATGAAAATATTCAGGAAGTAGATAGTGGGAATGGTTGTACAACATTGTAAATATGCTAAATGACACTAATGGTGAATTTTATTTGTATTTTACAATAATAAAATTAGCAGCAACCCATCTACCTACCATCCAGTTTAAGAAGTAGACCTTTCTGAATACAAAAATAAGCAAACTGACTTCAATAATAAAAAAATGGATTTTTAATTTTTTTTTCTTTTGAAAGCAAGCTAGAGCCTTTTACTGCATATGGTATGCCAGATGCCAAAATATATAGTTCAGAGTCCTTTGGTAGGCTGTGAGGAGCCATGGTAAATTACTGAGCAATGAAGGGACACAATTAGAACTCTGTTTTAGGAAATCCATCTGGCATCACGAGTTTAACTGGAGAGGGAGGAACTGGAGGCAGACCTCTTGTAATGGTCTAAGCCCCTTGAGGCCTTAAATTGGGCATGGTAGGAATGGAAAAAAAAACATAGGAAAGACTGTATTTGCCATTTTGTCTTCTTTTATATCCACTGCACCTACAATCAGATTTCTGTCGTAGCAGGAGTTAGCATACCCGAAGATATGTACCAGTATTCTGCTAGATACAGAAATATCTAGAGCTCCCCAAGGAAAACATCAGACCAGGAAATATTGGGCAGCCTAAAACTTATTTTTTCTTTTCTTTTTTTTTTTTTTTGCTAAGCAAAGAGTTTACAGTATTTACTTTCTTAGTCTATCTCTAACTGGCCTAAGATAAGCAACAGCTATCATTTACTGATCACTTGCCAAGTAACTTATACATTTTTTTCTGATCAGTTCACTTAACCCTTTTTTTACAACCCTGTAAGATGAGTACTACTTAGGTCCACTTATGGATGAGTAAACGGTTCAGTGAGAAGAGACTTGTCCTTTAAGGTAAGGGGACTTGGACTTCATACCTGACTCCAAAGCCTGTGCTCTTAAGGAAAAAGGAGGGGTTTGGGGGAGAGTTAAAATTGAGAAGCATGGTGTTTTTGCTGCTCTAATCAGTCTCTATTTCCTCTGAATTTACCATAGTTTTTCTTTCAGAAGGGCCAGGGTAAGCTTACTGCTTTCTGGACGTTTGAACATATTTATTTTAATCAGTCCTTAGGGGGCTCACAAAAAGACTTACTTATGTACATCTCTTCTAAGAACATTAAGCTGTTGCATTATAGACAGAGCAGGTCACACTCCTGAAGTAGGTAGCGAGGGCCTCCACCAAAGAGTTGGACTTTTACTGTGCTAAGCATCAAAAGAGGTGAACTGAAACAGGAAACCAGAGCTAGAGGGCCAGGAGGGGGAACTGCAGGTATTTGGCTGTGACTCATTCTGTCATTTTGTTGAGAGTTCATTACAACACCCTCCTGGAAGGAAAAGAAAAGCTGACCTGTACAGCCCAGTGACAGACAGGCCTAGGCCCCACAGCTGAAGATGAATGAGCCTTATCGTAACAAAAGATTATCTAGGTTCATGTTACTCTTTTTGTTCATTTTCCTCTTGTTATCCCTCGACCTCTGGTAAAATCTTATTTAAAAGTTTCAGCTTGATTTAACTAGGCCACACGAGGTTTTAAAAAAAAAAAAAAAGGCCGTGTCCAACTTAGACCAGAGGCAAAAAGATTCTGGGGAGTAGGCCCCCTTGAGGCCAGTATAGGTGATGGAAGCTTTAATTGTGAGCTCCTAAAGGGAAGGTAAAACTCAGGACATCAAAATTGGGGGTTAAACAACCCGGCCACTTCTCATTGTCCACGGCATGGTCTCCTTCCCTCTGCCATCTGTTAAGGAGATGTGATTTGTATTAAGGGAGCCAGGGGTTCCTTATCCATTTACCTTAGAACAATGTTTTTCAGTCTGCAGGTCAGCCCCATCAGTAGGTCATGAAATTAATTTGGGGTTGTCAATCAGCACTTGTTTTTAAATGAGATAGGATAAAAACTATTATGTACTTAGAAAGTTTATTATTTTTTGAGCTTTTGTTTCAGTTTTTTTGTTTTCTTGCTCTTTGTCTTTTTTTGTTTCAGTTTTTAAAAGCTGCGTGCATGTGTGTTGAGTCATGTGAAATGCATTTCTCACTGTGGGTTACGATCAGAAAAATTTGAAAACCACTGTTACACATATATATCTAATAAAGTCAGTTAGGATTATCAAGGGGAAAAAATCCTTACATATTTTTGTTGTTTTATTTTATAATTTGTACACTCAGAGATTTTTCCCGTTAACACATTTTCCTTAAAAAATTTCTTCTGGGTGCTTTCATTCAGGAATTTTGCACTATTTCATAGTTCACAGCTCTGTCAACACCTTTCTTTGGACTGCCAGGAATGAAGACAAATCTGCTGGGGAGGTTAGGTGCCTGGAAATAGTGACCCTTGGTGGGATTTGAACTTCTTTAACCTCTTTGCTTCTTTCAAGAGTGAAAGACTTAGGCCTTCCCCTGTCACGCCTGTGTCGGGACTCAGCCACGC